CCGTGCGATAGAGAAAGATGGCTATAATGAAGGCGTCTAATAGTCACCGCCCATTTCGCTATTCCACAAATAAGATCCACTTCTTATTTGTGGAAGGGCGAAATGGGCGGTGACTATTAGATGCCTTCATTATAGCCATCTTTCTCTATCGCACGGATTTCTATGACTTACTTTATCGCTCTCACGTAACGGCCGATGAACCATGGGGACTTTCCGACCCTGTATATATGTATATATAAATGTAAGGGGTAATTTTTGAGGGTAGAAGAGTTGCAATCAATAAAAAAGATTTTTTAAAAAAGAAATCAATTTTAATTTGATAAAAATGCGTGATTAAAACGTTTCAAGATGAAACATTTTTTTTTATATTATTTTCATCCAAAGGGGTGGTTTTTAAAGGTTTTTCCGGGTTGAAAATTTGGGATACATTAAGTTTCATGTTAGATAGCACATGAAATTACTCATACTACTTAAATAAAAAAGATTTGATTACATAAAATGCTTAAATTTGTATTTTTTCTTTTTTCCAATAAGGGGTGGTTTTCACCCCTTAAGAACAAAAAGCACACCTAGCGCATATATAAGTTTTGAGTGGGTGGGTAAGATGAGCCTAATTCTAAATTTTGAGAAAAATCGATGCAGTTATAAAAAATTCGGATGTATTACTATATTTTCAGTTACAGTAAGTGGGCTATTTGGTACGCTGATTCATTTTAAAAAAGTCAACATCTTTCCTAAAAAGTAATAATCTGTAACAGGTTACATACTTAAAGTTAGGTGTTTCTTCTGAATTAAAAAAAAAAGCTTTTTTAAAAAGATATACATATTTTATTATTAATTCTTGTAGTTGAACTTTATTTTAATGTTGTTGAGCTAATGTAAATAAATGAAAATGATAATTATTGAAAAATCTTATGATGTGAAGTCGAACAATGCTCTTCGATGCCAGAAATCTAGATATGCAAAATATATCTACACCTCGTAGGTAAATTAATAATTATCTGGAAAAAAATTCAAAATTAAACAGTACATTTGACACTCCCGCTGCCAATATCTCCGAAATGCAGAAATTTATTTTAGTTCTGGAAATTGGGGTTGTTAGGCCCCTCGAATAGCTTCAAATTGCAGTTAGAACTGTTTAGTTCAAATCTTTCTGTATAGATGGCGTGGCGATATTAAAAAATTATTTGATCCCTGGAACGTGGAAATGCAGTCCATATATGACAGATCATTAAATTTTGAGTAATTTTTGTAATATAAAGTTTTTCCCAATATTTACTTATTTTCGAGACATGTCCACTTTAATATGCATTGTATGATGTAACAGGAAAATCTATTATTTTATTTAAATCACACCGAGACAAAGTATTCTTTTAAAATATTGTTATAATGGACTTTATTCGCACTACATACTAACTAACAAGCAATAAATTATAAAAAACAAATGATCAACTACCGAAAAAAAAAATGTGCAATGGTAAATCTTGTAAGGGGCTGAGACCAACCGTATTTTATCAAATATTATTAAAAAATTCAGTCATAGGTGGCTCGTGTCATTTGTTTATATTTGTTATAAGATTGTACTTTTTTTTTCTGTAATTGATCATTCATTTTTTTTTTTAATTTATTATTTGTTAGTATGTGATGTGAATAAAGCCATCATAACAATATTTTTTTAAGGATTAAAAAACACATATAAACACTTTTAGCGTTGTCCTTTTAAAATTTAAGTTTTTCTAAATGTTCTATTTTAGATAAATTATTTATTACAAGTGACGAGACCAATAATTTTGTTTCCTAAGTTTACATTAAAACACAACATCCTGTTTCACTGCAAACCACCGTAAAAATTTTGACTAGGAAATACGTCCAGAGACTTACGCGGTCTCCTAAATTTGTTTCTAAAATAAATTTTTTTGCTAATTTTTTTTGAAACGTTTCTGTTTATTATTCATTATGTAAAATGTTCGTTGTCTATTTTTTATAATATCGTTTAAAAATTAGCATCCGGTCAAACTGGATTTTACTCAGTGCCGATTGCACTGGTATCATTTTGCTTTTAAATTATGAAAGAATTTGTTATCGATTTTAGGACATTGTACCGTGGCGGAAATCCCGGTCCATTCTGTACTGGAGGCTGAGGAGGCGTCTGCTCGAGGACAGGGTAATCAAGGGCCTCATGGACGCCCAACCCGAGTTGGCGCTGGGCCAGGGCGAGGCCATGCTTAGGAGGTGGTTCATCGAGGACAAGGGCGCCGCAGAGGTAACCAAATCTGTGTTGTACAATAATTTTTTTTTTCTTTCAAACATTCTTTGAGATAAGTCTATCGGGGAGTTATCGAAAATACGGTGCGGTTCGAACTGGGTGATTTTTGCTCTATTAGATATCTTTGAAAAGGTCTCGCGTATATTTTGTTAGTTTTAAGAAAACCGAATTTTCCAATTTTCTGTTTTATCTTTTCCTGACGCGATGGCGTTTACCAAAAATAACCGTAAGTGACCAAAATATTTAAGATTTGTTCCTTTAAAATCGGTATTTACAATTGCCAGTGGTTTACTTTAATTTATTTTTTTTCATCAAAAATAGGCAGTCGCTGCAGTTTAGTGTTTAATTACTTGGGGTGCAGATGGTGCGACGATATGTTCATGGGTTTTACCTTCCTTGTGTAAATGGGTGACATCGCTATCCGCATTACGTTTTGACTCCATCTGGAGTCTGTAATGATGAAAAAAAGGAGTAAAATTGACTAAAAACAGAAGACAAACAAACCATGTGCTGGGGTTTTTGTGATCGGAACTTTATTCCATACGCGAAAAGTAGCTCGTACCACACCAATTTTCAATTTTGACAGAAACCACTTTTTGATGCAATTAGTGGGTGGTCCTTTGATTAAAAAAAATGTAAAAAATTGCGTATTTAAGGATTTTCGCGAATAGATTTCGCTTTAGATAACTTTATAACTAATGAATAGACAAAGGATATTTTAATTTTTTTTTTTTTAACCTCGAAATATCCCAAAGAAACCCTCAAGTGTTCAAACCGCTGCTGTTTTTCTTTCATTGTGATCCGAATTATTGAAATTGTCACTTGCTAAAAATCAATTAATTAAAGGATACATTTTTCGTGTTTTATTCAATTTTTTTAATTGAATTCTCACAAAGTCCATATTAAATGTCAATAAAAAGAGAAATCTTTAAATGAGCAATTTTTGACCTTCATTTATGTCTTTCATCGAACAATTTTTTTTTATCAAAAAATGATGACCTTTGAAAGAGGTTATTTTGAAGTTTTCAATACATTGTTTAGATTTTCCGTACGATCCTTAGTTCCCGAGTAATTTATTATCAAATCCAAACAGGTCATTTTTGCTTTGAACGACGATAACTCGGCGACAAATCGTGGTACGAAACTCTTGAATAGTTCAAATTAAAGAACACGAGTCAAACTAAAGGAGCTAATTGGTGGGATTACCAAAAAAACATTATTGAATTCCCTGGACTTTTTGAAATCGAAGCAAAAATTTAGACATTTTTTTTCCACCGGATTTCTTATGATTTCTGAAAGGTGGACAACGAAGAAAATTCGTGACATTTTATCATCATTCCAATCATCTTACGCCAGGTTACAGCCTTTTGAAAGTCAAGTAAATGTTTAGAATTTTATTTTTATCCCTTAATTTTTGAGCCTACTTCTGTTAAAAAATGGCGACCTTAATAAAATGGAAACGTAATATTTAAAGTTTAAAAACAATCAGAAATTACCTGTCATTTGATCAGCACTATTTTTTCATGGAAATGTGGGTTTTGCCGCCCGATTAATGCTTTTAAAATACACATTTTTATATCCTGCCTTCACAGATGTGTCACTTGTGGCAATTTAAATACATTTCGGATGTATTTCATCCATCATCAAGAGCTTTTTCTATGAAAAATTTTGAAGTACAACCACAAGGAAAACAAATAAGAGGTTGGGGTAAAAGTAGCAGATCCGCGGTGTTATAGTCTTTCCGATCTCAATTGAAGACCAAAGATCTAGGCGGTATGTACCAGGTTCGTTCGCTGACGCAGCAAGTTGAAATATTTGAAAAATGTGTTCCCATATTTATTTAGCCATACCCAGGAAACAGGTCTGGTCGCCCAGTTAATAATAATAATAATAATAATAATAATAATAATTTTATTTCCTCTAAGACAAAATACAAATTTGTATAGGAATTGTCAAAATAATTTTGCCTTACAAACTAAACCATAAAAAATTTGTCTCAAGTATAATAACAACTTTCGAGTAAAAAGCCTTTTAGCACATTTTTAAAAACTTTTAAACGTTTAGCGTGCTTAATGTGATCACTCAAATGATTAAAAGTTGGAGAATGCGCGCGCGGGCAAACGACGAACAAACGCAGCGGGACTGGGCGATCGGCCATAAATTTCAGTTGTCGACAAATTGCCTATCAGTGCAGTGAAGCAATGCGGAATTTGGTGCGATTCGGGCAATTTTAATTTATTATAGGCACCTTCTATCAATCATTGATATTACAATTGCGAAAGGGAGGAAAAAGAGGGATATTTTGTGTACCAATAAATATTATTACAACATGGCATTTTGGAGACCTTTTGAAACGGAACAAAACGAAATTTACCGTCGATATAATAAAATTGTTCGGGGACATAATTAATTAAAATATGTTATTGGTCAAATGAAGAAGTTCGACTGCCGTTACTTCAGCATGAGATAAGATAGTGTAATCACAAATGAAAAAAAAAGTCGTATATTACAGGGGCGTAAGATTAACAGTTTTCAAAATACGGCGAGTATTAATATTGGGGAGCTTCATCACAACGTGACAACAGCGCTTAACCTAATGCTACACAGCTGGTGCGTATCACGTGTGCACGCGGCAGACTTGTCCTACGGAAAAAATGTAAACAACTATTATTGTACAAACATTTAATAAATTTCAAGAAGATCCTTTTCCAGTTTTTAAATAAATAAAATGTATCGGTTTTGTAGTACGAAGATAGTGCTGTGCTTAAATTTTAGCTCGAATTTTAGTAATTACGAATGAAAGAAGTTAAAAAATCGATAAACATGTTATGCACGCAGTTATGTCGATATTCCTTAATTAATCGGACTTTTGTACATCTAGTTGGAGATTTTGATAATTCTTTTCTCGGAATGGTTGAGTTTAGGGACCCATGTCATATAAGGGGTTTTTGTTTATTTGAATGTATTTGATCGTCTGTTAAAATTGAGGCAGTCAAATTTCTAACACCCTGGTTTATTTATGTAACGTGTTTTCTTTTTTCGCAATAATCAGAGCTACAAATGGGACAAAAACGAGGTGGTGGTCCAGTGGATCGAAGAGCAACTGTCCAAGCCCAGCAACGAGTCCATCATCAACCGAAATATCCACGTCGTGAAGAAAGACGCCGTCATCAACCAAATCAAGTGTTCGTTGGAAGTAAGTCTTTATTTTTTTTTATACGGAGCCGTATTTTCAACGTGTGGGGCACTTTTTGACCGTTTCCAATTTTTTTTTCTTTCCTAGGATTGTCCCGACATAGCGTTC